GCGTGGATCTGTACGCATACGGCTAGAAGGGGGAAAGCGGGCTTGTCGCGTTGGCAGAGGCGGGGCGTGTCGTGTTGGCAGAGGCGGGGCTTGTAATCGTCGGAGAAGGTAAGGGTACAGTTACCGAGCGCGTAGTGGTAGATGAGGTTTCGTAGCTCTGCTGGTAGACGGAGGAGAGGAGACCTCAGTTGGTTTGCTGCTGTAGCTTCGGCTTTCGTGATTTACGCCATCGTTTTAGCTGTCGGGACGGGTATGGGTATCGCGGCCGCTATTTGGATTGAGCGGTTGTGGTGGTGGCGTGGTCGTAGAAGTGGGAAAGTGCGAGGAAGCTTGGGGGTGCACGTGCTTGCAATAATAGTCAGGCAAGTGAAGGAGTAGAAATCCTTTCAGATCCAGTTGGTCATACGTAATGAGCGTAGGTAGTGCTTGACTGAGCGAAGGTAGAACAGGATAGAACTCTTTAATTTTGCCTTGTCTTATAGGAAAGTGCGGTTCTTCCATCCTATCCATGGTACTGCGATGACGCAGAGCGAGACGAGCCACTCATGATTCCCGAATTACATAACCACCACATACGCAAAGGTACTCCTCATCAAATGAGAGAGATCGCAATCCTTAGAGTCTGTCTTATAGGAAGATGAGCTTGTGGCTGATCATCGATCTCAGTAAGCTTTGCTGGAATAAACACCTGCACACCGTCTCATTTCAAGGCGCCCATACTCCCTTTCGTTTCTCATTACTCATAAGACTGCCCGTTGCGTGTCTTTAAAAGACAATTGCTTCATGCTCTTCGGCCTCCTCTTGACGCTCAGTCCGGAGTATCTCAGTAAAGCTCTTCTCACTGCTCAATCCGGAGTGTCTCATCAATGCTATTCTCACTGCCCAATCCGGTTCCCTAGGTATAAACTTATTTGTCGAAATTTTGACACCCGGTACATCCTTTCGCAGACCCTCCGCCAAAACCCGCAGCCCGTCCTGATATCGGGGAACCCTTAAATGATTGTCTGAACAGCTGTGTTTCAACCTGATTTGCTCCAAGCCCTTGAACTTTGCAAGTGAGGATGCAACGCGGGGATAATGAGTGTCGATGAAGCAGAGTGGGAGTTCCAGCGTTTTGATAGCTTCGATGGACGATTTAGTCATGCTAGTAACGAGGTCGTTGATCATGGTCGTCGATACAAGGTCGAACACACTGAGGCTGTAAAGCAGCATCCCAGCCTCGGCGGTGATCTGGGTGCATACTTTCAATAGCCCGAATGCCAGTGCAAATTTGTCGCGATAAAGTACTAGTACTTTGTCGCCGCGTAAACTCAACCTGATCCTCTGGCCGCCCAGCGCGTGCACCCAAATCTGATTTCGAAGTTCGCCAGGTAGGCGGAGAAGAGGAGAGTTCTGTTGATTTGCGGATGTTATCTGCGCCGTTGTTTGCGCTGTCGATATGGATTTGGACATTTGCAGTTGAGTGGGTGGAGTTGTCGGGTGCTGCAGCCACTGCACTCTCACGAATGGGAGAAGTCACAAGTATCGTGAGAGCGCAACAAGGTCTTGAAGTGCAGGCGGTGCCAAGGCATTCGAAGAAGTGAAAGAGAGCGTTTGCAAAGCCATGCACTACGATAGCTTACTACATTGGTATTGCTGTACCTTGTTACGTATGTACTGCATGAAAGTTGACTTTGGCTAATCCTCCTCATCAGACAACCTTACCAAAATGCAATTCCTGAAAACTGCGCCTTTAATTGTTTTCCTCGATCTCGATACTCGAACGCCTTCCTGCCACTTTGTGACAGTATTTCAAATCTCACTGTTCGTCCTACCACGTATGCAAACTGCAAACCGTCTCAGTAATGTCCCGTACATTTGTTTCCCATGTCACCGTCCCACGTCGTAATCTTGACATTAGGGATCGTTTCCCGCAGTAGTTTCGCAAAACAACCCACACGAGATAAGTCGGAGTTCCTCGACAAAAAGGAATTTGTATTGTAGCGTATCCTGATCTCCTTCAGACTTTTGCATTGAATCAGATGAGGTGACGTGTGATCTGGATTTCTGCAGACGTCTTTGGTGTGAATGACCAGTATCTCAAGGGCTCCAAGCTGTGATGTACTCATACTGCTCAGGAAATCATTGGTGCTGCTGGCGTCTGTGGAGAAGTGGAAGATGTTGAGGCGGTATGGGAGAAGGGCGGCCTCAGCGTGGATTTGTGAGCACACTCTTAGTAGCGCGAAGCGTGGGATGGGCTCTTCTGAGCAGAGGCGTGGCTGTGTTGTTCCCAATAAGACTCTATGTCCGCCCAACGCGTATTTGTAGATCTGGTTTCGTAGCTCGGCGGGAAGACGGAGAAGGCGGGAGTTGCGTTGGTTCGCTGATATTTCCTGCGCCATTATTGAGTTGTTGAGACAGGCCTGGGTATTTGGCGCTGTAAGGTATATGGGTAGAGCGGTATCGTGGTGTAGCCTTGTAGACAGGAAAGTGAGAGAGTGTGTGGAGGTGCGGACAATGCCTAAAATAATCGTGAGAAGCGATAGAGTGTTTGCGCGGCCGTGCGCTAGGCCGCACACCCAACCTAGGTATCTGCTCGTCTTGTTCATGCTTCCTAAGGTCGCCTTCACAAGTATTTCCAATGCCGTTGGCAATAAAGAATGATTGCACGTGCTGACTTGGAGAAAAGGCTGGTAGTTGTAATGCTGAACACTTTCTGATCATCTGGAGAGATGGATAATATATGGCACATTGTTAATCTCTGAAACTTTTCCGACGTAAACATCCGCCAAACTCATCTGAGTTACTCTGCTTCGCCTGTAGTCTTTGCAGCCTATTCGTTTGACTTCGTAAAAGCAATCACCCTCCACCCTCCATACGATGGTCAAAACCCAATCCACCTTGTCTCAGTGATATTTGACACTGCTCAACCCAATGAAAGCATCCCATGTCATGACTCTAACACCAGGCTTATAGTTTCGCAGTAACGTACACAATGTCCGAAGGCAGGCATGGTTGTACTCCGTTGATTCGAGCTCTTTTCCAGCTAAGTTGATCTTGATTTCCTCTAGACCTCGGAAATAGGTAAGCTGTGACAATAAATCCGTGGGTCTGCAAAGGATTACAATGTTGTATGAAATCCTGATCACTCTGATGGCTTGGATTCCTCTTGTACTGGCGGACGCTGTGAAGGCAGGGATGGAGGTGTGTCCGAGGAAGTTGAAGGTGTTGAGACTATACGCTAGAGTTGCTGCCTCTGCGTTGACTTGAGAGCACGTCTTTAACAATGCAAAAGCAAGGGCGTCTTTCTGCTTATAAAGACGTGACTTGCGATTGCGTGTCACCGGCTCTGTATATATTCCTATCCCGAGAACATGACCGCCCAATGCGTAGTTGTAGATTTGATTCCGAAGCTCGGCCGGTAGACGGAGGAGAGGAGAGTTGCGCTGATTTGCCGCCGTGCTATCTCAATATTAGTTCATGTACTTCCTGCGCATACTGACTCTCGTAGACTGCATACATGTGAGCGCGCGCAGCGTTGGCTGCTGTCCTTCGCCCCATCTTGGCAGGTGTACTGGGAAGTTTTGTTGCTGACGTGCGGGTGAAGCTGTGTTGTGTTGTGATCTAAGTAGTTGGTAAGTGAGAGACAGCCCTGAAGAGCTTGGACCCGTAGGAGTGGAGTTGAGGCCCAAAACAGCAAGAGCAATGAGGAAGTTTGTCTGCGCAACCCGGCGCTGGGACGCTAGTACAAGTTCGATACGAACTCAAGGCAAGCTGTGCATGCCGCATGCATACCCTGATGTCATTTAAGTTATTGCACCGTTAAGAGTGGTTACATACGTGTCGCATCTTACTTCGTATATGCAACTGAGTCTGAACAGGCAAATACCTTCTTGAGGTAGTGTATACCTCCAGCTCGATAACATTGTTGTACAACCGCGAACATTTCTGGTGTGCTCAACCCAACTTATCCTTCGATTATGACAGTAACACCCGGTTTCATGCGCTTCATCGTCTCCGCCAGCATCCCAATATCCTGTTGCTCGCCGATAGCACTCAGCAGTGAAGGAACCCTCGCTTTCTCGATAACCACCGTCTGCAAGCCTTCCAGTTTCTCCAACCGTATTGACCCTCCATTGTTCCCAAAGTTCCAGAAGGAACGCTTCAGCAAACCACACCTACGAGGTTTGAGCTGAATGGTACGTATGAATTTAAGTTGGGCGGGGGAGCATCGTAAGAGAAAGTAGCGCATGGCGAGCTCGTGATCGAATGCAAAGACGCAGTAAGGGTACTGTAGCATGGCAGCTTCTTCGGAGATCTGCTTGCAGACGAGTAGTAGACCAATGGTACTTTCCAGTAGGAGGGGTCGCAGTAGGATCTCGTGAACCTGGCCGCTCAACACGTATCTAGCACAGATGAGAGGGTTAGTGTATGTTCGTAATTTTTCTGAGCGATGCAAGAGAAGGTCTATTCACTTGTAGATCTCATTTCGCATCTCGGCTGGAAGTTGCAGAAGAGGGGACTCGATAGCGTTGCGCGTAGTTATATTTGTGTTCTCTTCATGCGACGACAGAGCTGCCGAGTGCTCATCGGCTGCGCGCGTCGCGTCCGCCATCGTGGTCGATGTGTCGGTGCTAAGAGTGATGGAATTAGGAAGTTGCATTCCGAGCATGGAATCACTGGCTAGGACAGCCAGCGCTATAGGAAAGAAGAACTGAGGGTCCATTGCGCTAAGCCGTAAGTCGACTGCTCGCTCATTCACCGGGGATTCACCCAGTCTCGAATTTGGGTCGTTGAGTAGGTAACGAGGGTATTCTACCAAAACTAAACTAATTCGCCCAGTCGAACCCTCTAATTTAGACTTTGCGATTGCCAACGACCTCGGGAAGAAGGAGCCACTCAAGGCTGCCGCGATAGTGACAACGCAAACGACGCTGTAACTACCCGCAGCTGAACGTCTCAGCAACTAATATTTGCCACATCAGTCACACAAAAGCTAGCGTGCGCCTGACCATATCCTACTACTCCAGACGATGAAGCTCAAACGCCAACTCAACATCCTTGGGCGCGAATTTCAGAAGCCTAGGACCCAATCCAGCCTCTATCCGCTTGAGCGCCGCAATCTCCGACGGACGGAACGAGGACTTGGAAGAAGTTCCTACCACAACAGCGATGTGAATGTACTTTAACCCCGTCAACGTACTCAAATTCTGAACACGCTTCAAGTCAAAGTCTCCAATATCGTTCGGCCTGCTTGAATATTCCATAGCCTTCACATGAAAGAAGAGCTTGGTGATGGCTCCAGTTTGAGATGATGTAATGCGGTTTTTCAGAGCGGTGAGAGCGAAGTCGTTATAGTACCAAAACCGATTGATCCCAGAAAATGGAACTAGTGCAGTTTCGGTATAGATCTGCCGGCATGTCGACTGAAGCGCGACAAAGGGACTATCCTCTTTTAGACCGCCTGGTAGATTGGTGCGTGTGATTCTGACTTTTGAACCGTGCCAGGATGCTACATCTAGGAAATCCTTGGGCCCTACCTCCAAATGTGTCTCGTGGAGAGCTGTACCGGCTGAAGAATTGAGCAGTCTGATGCGGTTCGTGATCCGCGACAATTCCTGCTTGGTGTACTCTCCATAATCCACACGCCTCGATTTGATGAAGATGCTGAAGCCACGCATGGCTTCGGCAAATATCTGATTGCGGATCTCGCCCGTCAATGCTAGGAGCCTGGAGGACTGGGCATTGAGTTGGTATATCGTCTTAGCCTCTTCTGATTGTGGTGTAACGTTCAGCATGCCGTCCTCTAGCAGCCGTATGTCCGGCCTTGGTGCAGTTTCTTGTTCGATTGACTTGTGCAATCGCAACAGCCGAAAGAAGGACTGGAGTGCATTGTCATCGTCCGTCAGGCCAAGAAGCTGGAGCGAAGGTGACGCTGACGTGTAGCTGTATGTGTCGTCGTTGATATGCACTATCGCCAGAGCGTCGTCGTACAGTTCAAACGTATCTAACGCCTGATCTATGTTCCGTTCTTCGCGAAGGCGCTTTTCTTCCTTTTCCCTTACAAGATCACTTGTGTCGTTTAGATCGCGATACCCCATGCCGATGTGTAAATAGTCCATCTCAGTTGAGGCCATGTTAAGTTGTAGGTGTTTGAGGGTAGGTCAGTATGTCATCCGTCTTCTGAGTTGGATGTCGGGGCCGGTGAGGAGAGGAGTCAGCAAGGAATGTCAGACTGGGTTGTATAGAGAAAGAGAAGACGCTAAGGTGCGCGTTACATATTTGTCAACCGTTAACTCACTGCAGTGTGTGCGATTTGATATTCTGGTTCCCTTCTATCCCATCTATGGTACTGCGATGACGCAGAACGAGACGAGCCACTCATGACTCCCGCAATACATCAACCACATACGCAAAGGTACTCCTCATCAAATGAGAGAGATCGCAATCCTCAGACTCACACTTAGTGGATACACGCTCAATTGCACGCCGCCTCGGCAGCGCTGTGATTGCACGTCGAGTCTCAAAGGTCATATATCAGCGTTTCAACGAACACGTTGCGTGCCCGTATACTTTACCTGCATTTTCCAGCCAGCCATCTAGCAGTCCTTGCTCTTTTGATAACGCAGAAGAAAAGAACAGTAGAGTGGATCATACAAAAAGAAATGGCAAGCCCAATAACATCATGTGGATAGTGGCGAGGAGATCGAAACGTTAACTCTCACTCCACTAACAGGAAGAATGGAATACGCGCCTTCTGAAGAGGGAAAGAGAAGTAGAAAATAACTTAAAATGTACATTGCCTTGGAATTCAGCCAGCGTTCGTTTTCCTGTCAATGTAGACTGCAGTACACTTGTTCGGGTCCTTCCTTATCTCAGGTGCTCCTGGCTATTGAAGGCCAGCACCGTATACAATGGTATAGATGTGATTTTTTGTCGCCAACGCGCGCAACAGCGAGAGACTGGATGAAGAGAAGCCATTTCCTAGGCGTCCTATAACGGACGGCACACCAGAGCAGACCTGAAACACGCCGGTAATTGCGGCACGAATAAGCAAACAAGGGTGAACTTCCGCTGTTCAATCTATATGATTCAATGGCTGCGAAAGTAGGAAAATCGAAAAAGATGGTGTGCGACAACAAACGAGATCCCCACCGCGAAGCCGTTAGCTGCAGGCTGCATGACATTGTTCTCCGCGTTGATCTCCGCAGTCCGGCTATCCCTTCTGGTGGCTGATCGAGGTGGGGCGTCGCGGGACCCCTGCATAAACAACACCTTGCGATGGAGAGACCGGGGGCTCTTGCGGTCCATATGGGAGCCTGCTGCCCTCAATGTTGTGGTTCCCCTTTCACCTTCCCCACCGCTTTTGGGTACATAATCTTACGCGCGTCCGGCCGCGATTGTTTACTCACAACATTTGTATCACCACAGCCATCACACCCCACTTGACCCGCCACCACACTCGCCCCGGTATACATACGCACAACAGCAATTAGCTAAACAGCTACTACTATACAAGGCGTCATGACGCTCCGCGACACATACACCAGGTTCCTGGCGACGCCCTCTTCGGGCGCGCTGGCGGACAATGCCTCGCTCCACTATGTCACCACCACGACCAGCATCAACGACGCGACCGCCATCATCAAGCACCTGTCTGTTCAGGAGAAGCTCCTGAAGAAGACCAAGGAGAAAGTGCTCAACGCGATTGAGGGCGGCAATGGCCTGAGTATCGACGTTGAAACGACTATCGAGTTCGTCAACGGTGGCGGCGCATACCTGCCAGGCCTGGATGACAATTTCGTCACCGACCGAACTGTGACGTTCCCTATGGTATGTGCCTGACTCAATCCACGTCCTCCCACCTCACTCAAAGAGGAAACCGAACATCTGAAGCCTACATTGACGCTCAGGTTTCTACTTTGCGTATTCTACCACTATGTAGTCTGCAGACCTGTTCGGTTTCGTCTTTGATGGGGTGCACGCCTTCTCCACGCGTTTACTGACACTGACAGGTGCACATGGTCCACTTTGACAAGTCGGGCAAGATTACACAGATCCGCCAGTACTGGGACCAGGGCTCTCTGCTCAAGCAGATCGACGTCATTGGTGCGCGCTCTCGCAACTGGCCCATCCGCGACAGCAGCGAACAGATCCGCCTCATCACATCCAACGCGGCAGCTGCACAGACCGAATCGAGCGCGTCGTCGCGGCCCTCAACCTCAGCTTCACGAGGCGCAGATGAAGTCTCCATCAGCTCCCGTTCGAGGGGATCAACGAACAATGCCATGAACGACCCGCACGCATCGCTCGCCCTGTTTGCGCCTCGCGAGGTTGACACTGAGGAGCGGGAGTCGCGCAGCTCTGGGCCGGCAGCGCCCCGGGCTCAGTCTGCGAAGCCGCCTCCACGCGAGTACTCTGAGCTGTTCGCTGGCGCAGGGGGCGACTCACCGTCTCCTTCGCCCCAGCGCATCCCAGCCAAAGCAGGTAGCGGAAAGAACTTCAAGGCCAACCGATTGTTTGAAGAGGAAGAAGACGAGCACCCAGTCGCCCCGATGAGCATCAAGACGAGCTCCAAGAAGTACGACCACTTCACGTTTGGCGAAGGCGAGGAGACACCCAAGGTACGAGACACTGCGCGACCATCCAAGCACGACCAGAACCGCAACAGGAACGACGCCCACTGGGACTTTGACGACTTCGCCACCCCGAACAAGTCAAAGCCCAAGACGCTTCCTAATGCCGTTCGTCACTTTGGCTGGAGCGACGATGAGGTTGGTGAACACTATCAGCCAGAGGCGGAGGTTGCTACATCTCTGTCTCTTGCTACCCAGCTGAACCCCTGCTAACATATACCCACCACAGGACACCTCCCCCGTCCGCCGCCCCATCGTGCACAAGGCGCGCCCCGACCAAGACGCCCACTTCGACTTCGTCGACGAAGGCACACCCGAGGGCCAGCGCAAAGCCGCACCCACTAAGGGCGGACGCAGCAACAAAGGCCAAGGCCTCTACGAAGACCACGTCACGGACAAGACGGACGAAACCAGCGGCGACAACAGCGATGCAAGGCGCGCCCTGAACGATGTAACGCAGTCCAAGACGCAGACGCGCAACTCCATGAAGACACACTGGGGCACGCACGCTGACTCACCAGAGAACCGCGGCATAAACATCGCGGGTAATGGTATGGGTGGGCGCAAGGGCACAGAAGCTGCGTGGTCGCTCTTCGAGGAGAGCCCTGTTAAGAAGGAGAACAACAATGGTGCTGGTATTAAGACGGAGGGCGATGGCATGGGTGGTAGGAAGGGTGCGGACAAGTCATTCTGGGACTTTTAGGCGGCGTCCCAACCGCACAACCCACGGCTGTCGTTTACAGTACCTGCTGACGAGCGGCTGTTGAGGTTTTGAGGAGTGCACATACTGGAGCGGTGTTCCAGCGCTGCGTTTGTGTATCAGGTTGTTGTTGGCTTGTGTATTCTTGTCATCTTCTCATACCGCCGCTTCTATCTGCCTTTCCATTTGTCAATCTGCTTGTAAAGGGCATTCAGCATGGCAGTAGGTTGGATGGACATTGGCGTGGACGACTGGCCATGAGGGCTCATGCTGTAGCATAGTGACCACACCTTTGATATCAGACAAGGCATGTAAGAATAAAGAGATTTTTCACTGAATTGTCGTCGTCAAACTTTGATCTTATCAAGTGACCGTTATGAGCCAAGTGTATGTAACTGTCTCGACAACTCGAATGTTCTGACTATCGTACATTCCACCGTTGAGTAGCGGACTCGTCTGGTCTTCATCCAACCGTCCAGACCGAGAGAGCTGATCGTACTCATTTCGATTTCGCTACCCTCAAGACATAGAACCCGTATCCTCATTCCTAGTGAAAACAATCTCAACTTCATCCCCCACCCTCCCTTTATCCATATCCCCATCCCAAGGATCAAACGTGATATCAGCCTTCAATCCCCATCTCCTTCCCAACCTCTTCCTTTCTTCATACGAAGTCCTCGCTCGCATTCCCTCCCACACAGCGCGGAACGCTTCGCCCTCCCCTTCCCTCTCGACCTCCTGTCCTTCCTCTGGGTTATCGAACCAGACTCCCAAGTCCACAATACGTCGCAAGTCGTCTGTTGGTTCCATAGACGCCCAGATATCAACTGGCGCGTACTTGACACGCACCTCTTGTAACGGCGTCGAAGATGACGTACCGCTCTCATGCGCAGAAGTGAGCATGAGAAGGGCGTGGACGCAGACTTGAACCCAGTACCGTATTTTAAGGGGTAAAGCGAAGCCTGGTCGCGAGACGCTGCGGCTTTGGTGTGAGCCGCGGGATATAAATCGCAGAGGGAGTGTTATGCTGCTTAGGTTGAACGTCGGCGAGGCGAGGTATGTGAAGAGGGGTGTAACTTCCATGGAGACGAGGAGGTCGAGTTTCGTGGCTATGTCTGCGGCGGAGGCTTCGCGGACGGGGTCGAGCGTTGGGTCGGCGAAGGGGTAGTGGTTTGAGAAGCCGAAGGGGTCGTTTGCGTTGGGGGGTTGTGTGGTGGCTGGCTGGCGGAAGGATGGGTATAGCGATGCGTTGGAGGCGTCGTATATGTTGTCGTCGTAGGATCCGCCTTCGTGGTCGTATTCGTCGTAGTGGCCGCTGTAGTAGGCGCCTCGTATGTAGTCGACATCGACTTCCTCTTGGTCATGCTCCCAGTGCCACACGTCCCTTCCTTCTTCGCGGTCAGGTGGGTAGCGTTGCAGGTTGGGCAGGTTTTCCCAGTCCAGCTCTATCTTCTTTAGCCATTTCAGCCATTGTCTGCCGGGTCCATTGGGTTCTTCGATCTTTTCTAGCAGCGCTTTGAGAACAAATGGTCCGCAGCTGAGGTAGACGGTGTGATTTTTGAACAGGATCTCGAGGGCTTCACGGGCGACTTGACGGTTGAGGAGGAAGTATTGGTGGCGGGTTATGAGGAGGATGGCAGCAGCGCTGGGTTTGAAATATTTCAGGTGACGACGCTCAATGGCCCGGTCAACGCTGAACTCTTGCGCAGCGAAAGTGTAGTCATATGTCTATATTGCCGTCAGCCTAAGATCCAACGGAGTGGCGGCAGAGATGTGTACTTGATCCCGCAGCTCTCGTGGAAGCCTGAGGAAGGGGAAAACATGCGATGGCACGGCGTCCTCACGTTCAACATGCTCGGCATCAACAGGCACGGCGGATGCGGTGGCGTCCATGGTGCCTGCTCACAATTCACGCGTGCTTTTCGTGTTGCGAACCAAGCTTTGCCCCGCAGCGCTATCTGCATCGTGACGATCTTCACGTGATTGTGGTGGTCGCTTCGCATCCCCGCCCGCAATTGCCCATCCCTGTCTTGTGGCGAGGCCGCGGCGCAGCTAGCACCTGGATCAGGCAGGCGCTTGACATGTCCCATGGATGAACGGGCCGATTCCTGTCTGTAATGACCGTCATCTTCGTAGCGTATCCGTACTGTCGGGTTGGCAGCAAATCGCGAGGCCAGGCACGTAGAAATACCTTGGGTACTGTGTAGAGTCTTCGAGGTTTACTCATCTCGTGCCAACATCGTACGGTAATCGTGCCTGAGGCATTTTTGCTACCCAATGCCACCCAAATCGATCGAGGTACAGTCATCTTAGGCTTCGGTTGGTACCGAGGCGAAATGCTTGCGCTGGTAGTTGCACTACTTCGAGGTAAACCTCCGTTCAACAACCATACTGCTCCGGTAGTCATGACCGAGATGAGCTTTCAGTGTAACTGCAATCTACGAGTAACCGTTGCAGCGCCGTTCGGATCCGGCAATTACAACAATATTGCCTTCAGGTACGCGACCGCTGCTGTGCTGCCGAGCTTCAGGGGCCTTGCAGCCGGAATGTCACCAAGCCTCAGATCATCGGAGCATGTCACTGCAATGTCCGTCTAATGATGTACTGCAAGGGAGGCACGGGAGCCTTACCGACTGGTCTTGTCTGCCGATAGACTTTGAGCGCGTAACGACCCACCTGGGGTAGTCCTGCATTGTGTTACGGTCCGCGCCCCAACAGTTCCACTTACCAACGGATACCAACTGCTGGCAGGTTGACGCGTCCGAGTACAACATCTGTCCTTCAAGCCTGCTTTTGGAGGTAGCTGGCGTGCTGATAACGTGTCGCGCCTGTGCAACCTAGAGGCACGCGCGTTCGATGATGCATGTCCATCGGTGGCTTGGATCGAACAACGACATTGACAGACACAAAACCTGAATCATGTATGTCCTTTGAGAGCACAAGAAACCGTTCGTTCCTGGTATGGTCCACGTTCACAGCAACATGGAAACCATCGCCCGGGCACTGCCCCAAAAGCGTGCCATACAAGCTGCAGACACAACAGCATGTAAGCCTTATATCTCTTACAGCCTAGCAATGCTGTGACCATAGCTAAGCCTTCCAGATCTTTCGATGCAGAGTTGAACCATAGAAACAAACGAACACCCATGTTGTTGAGCTCACAGGCCGACGGCCCTCAACGTGGTGAATGGTAAGTTCTGCAAACTTGAATTACGGTTGGCTTGACCGTGGATTCATGTGGGATCCGGAGTTGGCTCCTCAGCCACCGTTGCTCAATCAGAGCACTGGAGGACCAAACATGCATTGGCACCTGACACAAGACCGTTACGTTGTGAACCTGGTCGTCGGGTCTGCGTGTGGTAGCACCGCCAGACCGAGTACAGTGCGAGGAGGCGGCGATATCGCCATGTGGTGTAGAGTAGCTTGACCGGCTTGGACCGACTACGTGATACTGATCCAAAGGATGCGTAAAGATGGACATGTTTCGGCAGCAGTTGCCGTCTGCAGTCCAGTTTCAATGGTCATAGTCGTTCTAGGCAGATACATTCCAAGTAGGTTAGCCGATCGTGTGATCCTTTGTCTGAGACAACACCGCGGTCGTGGTGGGTGATCGTAGAGACATGAGTGATGTTGGTCATTACTGTGACGAGTTGAGTCGCTGATATGGTTCAGGGCTTCCAATGGCGGCTACAAAGAACATGGAACTCACAGTTCAACAATAATCGATGGAAGATTGCTGTACAGAGGCTGGTTGTCCGAGATGGCAGCGACGTCGATGCTCACATGGTGTCCCGTGTAACCTGGTCGATGGATGCGGGTTCCAAGGGTTCAGCATCATGTGCATTGCAGGTTCCAAGAAGCAGAAGTAGGGATGAACGTAACGGTCACAGACGATCTGCCCTGTCGACCAAAGAGCGATGGAGTAAAAGTGGACAGGAGCAAGGGGTGGGTTTATTACCAAGGGTACAGAGGAGGCACAGCGCCTGTGTGACCGCGGAGGATAATTGGCAGGGCAAAAGAGGCTATGGGCGGCGGGAGTTCTGGCAGAAGTCGGGCCAGGAGGACTGGTTAATGGAGCGGGATGATTGCCATGCGGGAAGCAGGGTTCGGGAGCGCCGTGCCCTGCAGACTTGTGAAGCTCAGTGCATCAGTGCATCCATCGGAACAAAGCGACGATGGGGGCAGTGTCGGTGGCCCCGGAGACGCGAAGTGTGGATATGTTCAGTAGTCGTTCTGTACCGTGGTCTCGCACAGCGCTAGCCGGCCAAGTATGGCCATGTTGTTTGGCATGGGCACGGGCTAAGGCGACTACTGCATGCCGGCAGCGAATGCAGGCTACAGAAGGATGCGCGCGCTGCAGGCGGCCATGAGGGATCGGCGCAGGAGGACAGCGTCGCAGAATTTGCTTTTGCTCGGCGCTTTGGCCGGTTGGGTAGCAGGCGTGGAGGGCTAGTGACCTCGTGGCGGTACAGCGGGCGGCGGGATAGCAACACGGGTTTGGCTAAAGTGACGACAAACTACAAGGCCCTGCCATGCTCGCCGCCCGTGTCTGCTGCTCGCGGGGCTCAGGATGCCGTGCCTGCGCATGCGTCTGCTCTGCACGCTGGAGCGGAACGAACCTCTGGCTGCCACAGCCGGGCGGAGTGGCCCCTCGCGGGTCGGTGGTGGCAGAGGGAATTGCTGTCATGGGCACCGCCATATGACAAGTGCACCAGTTCGCGCGCGGAGGCAGGGAGCCCATATTAAGTGCAGCTAGCCGCCGCTAGACGGGCAGCTTAAGATACACGAGGCCTCGATTGAACGATTTCCCACGTGCGGCCGGCTCACCTCTGGGCACCGCCATATCCATTAATTGGCTGGCTCCCTGGCTGCCCTTGCGACTCGTCAAGACTCAACCGTCGCCTCTAGCTTTCTGTTGCGCCGCACCTCCTCCACTTTCCAGAGGTCCCTTCCCAACGTCGTACGACGTCCCTACGGCTAGACCGCCGGCTGCCCGCTGCTTTGTTGTGCTCCTTGCTGCCCTCCGCCCCAGGACATGTACTCGACCCGGTAGTCTGCTGACTGCTGCTCTCCTTCCCCACGCGCGCAAACCAGAGTCTCTCGACTTTGTCCTCGTCGCCGTGTCAACTGGTACCATCTCGACCCACCACGCCCCAGAGCCGCCCCAGCTGGCCAATTCTCACCACGACGCCTCGCTCGACGCCCACGTCGTGCACTCGTCTTTTAGGGCGCCTCCATCGTGTCAATTCCAGATCCCGCCCTCTGGACGCCGTGTCCCATCTAGCCTGGGCAAAGGCACCTTTGTATTGTCCCTGCTGCAGCGTCCGCCGACTAGGGAGAGCACGGCAGCCGCATCTCTAGCTCTCGTGGAGTTTTTGCCAGGAACCTTGTTTGCTTTTGTCTCGACTCGTACCGCCAAAAGAAGTCATTGACGCCGGGCACCCTCGCAGCTGCCACTCCTGCAAGACACGGCCATCGCTCCTGCCCTTCTCGCGGTAATCGGCGTGGATCGTTACCTTGCGCTTGCCATTAGAGTTGGGACGGTCTTGGCGCTCCATTCGTCGTGCCCCACTTCAACCCAACTGCCATCTTTACTTTCAGGGAGGAACGAACCATATCCCGTGCGGCCTCGCTGCCCGTTACCCTTACCACGCCCTGCATCCTCTTCCACTCCACGCCCCGGCCACTACCCTTACCCAAGCTTTCCTTCCCGGGACTCGGCCCTCTTTTACTCTTACTTCTCCATCTTTCCCACCTGGCCCATCTACGATTGCCGAAAGTGACCAAAACCACTTGCTCTGGCAAACGTCATTATTCCGCGCCTCACTGGCTCCACTATCTCACCCGTTCGAGTGTGGACATCATCACGAGCCCAAAGCCCTCTCGCTACCACTAACGGCGGGCACGCACGACTATTTTATAAGGTACCTCGTGCGCCGCCTCCATATCCATGAACTCTGTTTCTCAGCGCACGACGCCGCACGCAAACATGTCGCAGAACAACATGCAAAACAACATCACTCAGGGCCAGCAATCTCTGCCGCCACTGTCCTCACTCACCAACCGTCTACCTACGGCTGAGCCGACCCCGGCACAGCCCAGGCAGCACTCAGAAGCACGCGAGGTTCGCGACTCAGGCAATTGGTCTCTTGCCCAAAGCAAACGTGAGTTCTCACGATACCTATCATCTGCACGTTGTTGACACGCTTTGTAGATTCATCAACTATGTCCCAGTCCTTGGGACTACACGTGCAAACACTACTCAACCCTTCCGATGATTCCCCATCAAGAAGTTCGATACCCGAGACGCCATCATCGGCGAGGTATCCATCTGGCCTCTCCCAGTCGTCTCAGGTACGCATTTCATGATCGCCTATAAACTCGTCTAACATAGCAGTAGCATGGTGTTCTACCTCCGCTCAACCAAGGTTTCGACAGCCGGCTCAGTATCGATGCCGGCTCTCATTTCGACTCTCGACGCAGCAGCGTAGACAGTCGGATGAACGCTACCATGGGTCATCTATCCATTCACCCGCAGTCACCATACGAGAGCCAAAATGCGTCCCGAGTCTCGCTTGTCTCGAACCTCCAGCAGCAACGCGGCATCACAAATCCTGATTCGCGCCCTAACGGCACTTCTCCTCTGTCACCTAATCGTGCTGCTCCGCGTGCCAACCATCCCCCTCGACGCGCTCCGGTCATTAATCCCAACCCCAGGAGCGTGTCTGGCATGCCGGACCCCATGGCGGCGGCTCCAACTAAGGGTTTTGCTTGGGCGTTTCCCGCAGATGATTACGACCACGAAGAGAAGAGGACGTCTAGCAGCGGCGAGTCTAGCGTAGACCGATCCAACGCCCCTTCGCGTCAAGGCAGCTTCGCGACGTCGGTCAACAGCAGCATCTTCACCACAGACTCCAAGCTACCACCCGGTCAACAACGACTGAATGATGGCACGCCTCCCTACTCTCATCCTTCATCAGACGTACTGACTAGTTCAGACATCCCTAGCACTCATCATCACTCCATGCAACATCGCAGCGTGACTAGCCTGCAGAATGTTGATCCCACCAACCCGCTTGCGCCTGGGAGTGGAAGTTATAGCAGGACCCCTGAGCTTCGCGTCAGCCACAAGATGGCAGAGAGGAAGCGTCGTAGTGAGATGAAGAACCTGTTCGACGATCTCAATGGCATCCTTCCCAACAGCCCAGGCAGCAAGTCATCCAAGTGGGAGATTCTCACCAAGGGTAAGTTCACTCATGAATCGCTATATACGTTTGACTGACGTGTCTTTAGCTATTGAATACGTCACCAGCCTGACCCGCGCACATCAAAGCGCTCGCGAAGAGATCAGCCGCTTGCGACCTGATGCAGAATACTGTCGTCGGGCCCAGGAGGAGAACGAGCTCCTCCGAGCAGAATTGAACGCCGTGTGGAACGCTCTCCGTCGCGTCGATCCATCCAACTCTCATGTCTACGGAAGTATGACAGGCCAGTTCGCACAAGGACAACCCGCAACTCCTGCGTCCGGGACCAACGTCCTTCCACCGTTACAGCAACAGCAGCAGCAGCAGCAACAGCAACAGCAAGGGCTCTCGCAACAGCCACCACCATCGCAGGCTCAGTGGGGACCACCGCCGCATGGAGGCTCTATGCAGGGACCGATGCAAGGTGTCGAGTTTGGCGGTATGCGGCCCTACGAGCACCCTCACCGTTGAAGCAACCCTTCTTCACATCACTGTCGTCTTGCATGAGCAACGCGGCTGCTCAAGCCACTCGAGTCTTGACCTTCACTGGACTGTATTTCTGGGTCTGTTTTCCGCCTTACATCGTGAGGCTTCATTTCAGCGTTTTCTGTTTATTACTTCTACACCAACGGACGGGTACACGGTTTAGCCGACTCTGTTCGGACCTAGGACTAGCTGTCCCACCAACAACGGGTTCAATTATTTACCGGCTTTGTTTCACGACCTTTCAGCATCGAATGTATTATGACACGATCCTATGCGACATCATCGGCATACTCGACACCCCTAGAGGGTCTTTCCTTTGTTCACCTACCGGATCGTAGGACGGCGTTATATGGGGCGGCTTACACCTTTGGAGTGAGAGGGCAAGGAAAGCTTCTCGGAGAAAGGTCGGGAAAAAAAGTATATGTCATGAATCACTAAATCGGTGAATCGGGTTCCTCATGTCGGCTCCAAGAGTGGGATCTTCGGCCATAGCAGGCGTACGGTTGGGCTTTGGGTCATTCTCCAGCGATTAATCAGTCTTTCAGTCGGATTTGGCTTCATCACTGCATGTAACCCGGGACTTTGGTCCCCGTCCCCGCCATCGTTCTACACGTGGACATGTATCTGCAACCAAGGAGGGCCATGTTTCTCAAACATGCATTGTCAGCTATTAGCGGGGGACCTACCACAAATTCTTTAACATGGATCGTCGCTGCAGGTTTGCGCGACCGAACTATACCCACACACCCTCTCTCGTTATCGCTCACTGCACTTGTACTGTTGTTGATCAAGTATATTGGAGATTCCAAATCCCCGGGTCGTCACGCTCGCCTCTTGCCGGATCTTGCCGACACGTGTAAGCATGGCTGCCTGACATACTGCAGTTAAGTTTCAGTGATGGTGCTGTCGTTGTTTCGATGATCTGTTGTTCTGACTGACAGGCGACGGAAGGCTGTTTGCCGCTGTACTAATGACTCGTATCTCGTCAATATTCCCCGATCCCCCATCATCCCCTTTATCTTTGCGCGCCATGCTGTTCTTCAACATACGCTTGACTAACCTCGCTTTCGCTTGTTTGTTCACTACCACAAAGTTTAGGTCTGCATCTCCACAGCCACACTCATACACTAGATATTCTGCGACTTGCAATGTTTGCGCGTGGTGGCGTGGCACGGCGTGGTAGTTCTCTTGGTTGCTTGGTTTCTCGGTGAGTTTGACATTGGCGGGGGGTTGGCATTCGATGGAAGGAGCAGGTGGAGTGCACTTCGTTCGACACGAGGTTCATAACTGCGCCGCAGCACGTGGGTTTCGGGATGTGGAGTTGCAGTTCCGCCATGTGGAGTACCTCTTTGGACATGACTTGACACTTTGACATGACTTGTAGCTACAGGATAGGCAAAAGGGTGCTGGAGTGCATATGTGTCAGGTAGCCGCGAGGTAAATTACAGTTTGCGACTAGACTGAATCATGTTAGTGCGCGGTCGGTAGGGAATGCCGAAGCCCTGAAGTGGCAGTGTGCGCGACGGCTAGGGCAAAAGGGAAAGTGAGTTTTCCGTAGACCTGGTGTGGCTGGTGACGGTGGGGTGGTAAGTTTGGGGTGGGGAGATGGGGACTTGCTGTGTATATTCGTCTGCTTGTGGTGATCGGTGTTGATCTACGGGTCACGGTGTTTTCTAGGAGAATTGTTTAGGTCCGAGATAGAGTCATATTGGCTTGACTTGGAATGGTGATGTGATCCATATACATAGTTTGTCTGGGGAGCATGCTGTAGTCACTAGACTGATTAGAGTAATATAAAGGCGAGGATCACAGCACGGAAAGCTCGATAGGACAGTTCACATCATGACGTTAACTAGTAGATGCCGAATTAAATGCGAAGCGAAAAATGGCGATCGCAAGACGCCGGAAGGGTATAATTAAAATATACAATCTAACCATCATCATAGAAGAAATCTCTTCAAAGGAGAAAGAGATGAAAACATTACACTACCCACGATGCAAGATAGTATCCAACGGGTTCTTGGGTTCACCAATCGTTTCCTTTTGCACCTGTTTCTTCTGCTTCTTCGTCATAAGGCCCTTGGCCTTGATACCACGTTCTTTTCGTAGTTTCTTGAGCGCCTCTTCGGTCATTTCTTGACGGAGGATTTGTTCAACGACGAGCTTCTTGCGACTGCGCTTGTCGCCGCGGCCGATGATGATGCCCGCGGTGATGTTGCATGTTAGACTGCAACTTAGGATGATGGCGGTGACTTCCTTAGGGCGGTCTTTGTAGTAGATACCCCAGGTGGTACCTCCCAGTGCGCACTGGAACATGGAGTGGAAGTCGAGAAGGACGATGATGGTGATGAGGAGGCGGATGGAAAAGGCGTGGTGGGTGTATGTCTCGTGGGGCCGGTAGAAGGTATGTGACTTCTCCAGCTTGCTTTGGTGGTGCTCGAGTTTCTTCTGCTCTTCGGCAGTGAGGACGGGGGCCTCTACGCCTTCTTGTTCTGCTTCGTCTGTTTCCCAAGCGTTGGATCGCGGCATGGTCGGTAGTTCGTTGTGATCTTTCAACTCTTGTAGTCCTCGTTCTTTACGTAGCCGCCAGGTCTTGTGCGCGTAGTAAGCGACAAAAGCCATGTGGTATGTGTCGACGATGCGGAAGGGGAACATGGTGATTCCAACAACACAGAACAAGGCAGTAAGGACCTGGTCAGCAATCTCGACGAAGTATGCCTGGCGATCACCAACGTAAATCCAGCCAATGAGGAAGAGCACCCATGCTGCTCCCCAGAAGGTGATAAGGAAGAAGTACAGAGTGACGAGGAATCCAAGGGGGTTACGAACATAACGTCCGAACCCCTTCATACTCCGCTTGAATCTTGCGCGTCGAGAGTGGAGAAGATGCCGTACGTGGTCGTCCAGAGCTTCCTTCTCCTCGTCGGTCCATCCTGTCAATGAAGCACCATGTGGCAGTACGGCGTAGTGATGGCCAGCACCTTCCTCCAGAGTCGAAAGATTCGAGTCGATAGTGTTGTTTCTTCGCAATTCTCCGCGGCCTCCGCGCGCGGCTTGTTCTACTTCGCCTTGTTGTGTCATCTCAGGGAGTTGGTCTTCCTCGCGTCTGGCCCCTCTAGCCGTGCCCATCTCTTCGTCCGAGGAGTCTGATGTCGTCTGCCCAAGATCGTATGTGGGCTGGCGGTTGTAGAGCCAGGGTAGATTGGGCAAGAACAGCGAGTTCTGAACGTTATTCAGTGTAGTGAGGGCAGATATCTCGGGGTCTAGACTCTGTTAGCTGATACCCCAATGTAGCATACTCTGGGGTTACTGACCGATGACATCAAGCACATCGACAACATTGTTGCCCATCATGTTCTGGTTTGGGTCCTTCTGATGCCGCCGCATGTGGAAAGCGGAGGACTGGCGAGTCATCCCTCTTCGTGCATTGTTTGCGGTCGGCGGACCATTACCGATAGCAGGGTTTGCTGTCGCCGTGCCATCTTCATATAGCGGCTGTAGATGGGGGCCCGTTAATTGACGCCTCAGGCTATCGTCGGCGACCATGGCGGCTGGAGGTGGGCGCGGTTCAGAACTACTTCGTCTTCGGCCGGCTTGCCATGTGCTGTCGGATCCCGGTACTGGCGCTGGGTCAGGTGTGGGTTGGGGAGTATTTACGCTTGGCTGATGTGAAGGTCTTCTTATACGAATCGACGAACTGCGCAGGCGCTGGATAGGATTCGAGGTAGGCGCGTGTGGTTGGGAGGGTTGAGTGGACGGTATGTGGGTCGTTGTGGTGACGGCAGGGTGTGTGATAGTGGTCGACTGTGGCCCAAAATGGTGCACGCTCGTTCCCTGTTGTCCGGGTGCGGTGGATGTCGTGGTGGTGGTAGTGTAGGGGCCAGAGGTAGTGGTGGTCGAAGTTGACGACGACGCCAACGGTCGTCCCTGCTCGTGTGGGCCTTGATCCATAACTGCAGCGGTTGCGACGAGAGTGCCCCAGGAAGGGAAGCAGTTTGGGCGAGAGTGCGGCGTTGGGGTCAAGTAGTGTCTTGCTAAGCGTGCAGCGAGCGATCCGGCCGCGACCGACGCAATTAGTTCATTGTTCAGTCAGCAGCGTGTCTCCGCAATCCGTCGTGAGAACAAGGTTAGGAGCGCGCCGTGATAGGAAAGCGGCGCGTTGGCACGGCGATAATAACGGGTTTGAGGAATAGGAGCGTGAGAGGGGTCTTGGAAAACACAGTCAAGCTTTCCTTGCACGCGCGGGTTGTCAACCAGCCGCGTGGTAGTGCTTCGGCTAGGGCGGCTTCGTTGAGGATCCGAGTGGCTGCATGCCATCCCTCCAGCAATCAGCTCTGACGTCATACCTCATATTTCTTCAACTGCAGAGATATCTGGGGTTGCTGACGCCTGCATGAGAAGGATGGACTAAGCATGGCTGACGCCCAATGCTTGATCATATGAGCCCTGCACGTCGCTGTCGCTGCAGCCACATTCTCTGCAGAGGAGCCACCAAGAAGCAATTAGTCGCATTGCGCAGACTCTGCCAGTTGTGCGCAGAAACAGTGGGCTTTCAAGACATGCATTATTGTTATGCCACCCTGGTCGACCTCAACAAATGTCAAATGTCGCTTGCAGGCCGGTTTGGGGGAGCAGCGTCTGGACTCACAGCCACAGGGCTGAAACACGGCCCAGCTGGTCGCGCCTAGGCCAGCGTTGACGTAGCTGTGGATCCCAGCTACGCATCCGTACCTGAGCCATGATGCCTTCCGACATCCACAATAATCTATACCTATAGCATCCTTATCGCATTCATCTCTCCAAAATGAAAGCGGCACGCGCCCTTGTTCCAGCCTTTCTGGCAGCCAGCCGCGTCGCTGCTATGCCACAGCGCAGCGCGCCGCAACAAGCTATACTCGACGCGTCGACGAAGCATCTCGCCAAACCACTTGGTGTAGGCCACTTCAGCGAGTGGAGTCGTGCCACAAAGAAGGAGTTCCTGGTAG